GAAGGACATCTCCACTGCCCCAGCCCCCCTCTTCGCTGCAGCATTTAAACAACCCAAGCTTCCCATACCATATAAGGTTTTTGGTACCACTATACTTTCATACTTTCCCTTCTTTGCTTCCATAGATAACGTTTTTTGTCTCCAGAGATACCTAACCACACCACTCACCTTTTTTCCTTCATCAATTTCTAGGGTTTAAACCCTCATCCTTCATAAACCCATCTGCTGACACATCAACTCCCAAATATCTAAAAACATTCACTTCTTCCATACCCTCTCCCCAATGTGATATCCATTTTTTCTTTATCTAAATCAATTTGTACCCTCATCACCTTACTCTTTTCTATGTTCACTTTCAACTTTCTACCTTTACACACCTTCCCAAACTTGTCCATAACCTTTGCAACTTTTCTTTAGAATCTCCAATAAGCACAGTATCATCGCAAAAAGTAACTGTGTAAACTCCCATTTTGTAATGTTCCCACAAAATTTTAATCCCACCTTCCCCTGAACACCCTAGCATTTACTTCTTTTACAACCCCATCTATAAATATATTAAACCACCATGGTGACATTACACATCCCTGTCTAAGACCTACTTTTACCGGGAAGTAATCTCCCTCTCTCCTACACACCCTAACCTGAGCCTCACTATCCTCATAAAAACTCTTTACAGCATTTAGTAACTTGCTACCTATTCCTATACTACTTGCAACATCTGTCACATTGCTCCCCTATCCATTATCATATGCATTTTCTAAATCCATAAATGCAATGAAAACTTCCCTACCTTTATCTAAACACTGTTCACATATATGCTTCAATGTAAACACTTGATATACACATCCCCTACCCACTCTAATGCCTCCTTGCTCATCTGCAATCCTACTCTCTGTCTTACTTCTAATTCTTTCAAAAATAACCCTAATATTCTTGTTCTTGTTTATTCCCTCTTATCTCCATGGGTAAGTGGAACAATTCTTCCTCCATAAGCCATGTATGTCATAAGAGGCAACTAAAATGCTGGGAGCAAGTGGCTAGTAACCCCTTCTCCACCCTGCCTCAGTGGGATATGGCCAGTATGCTGAAAGAAGAAATAATAATAAATTTTGTGTTTTCTTTCTCGGGTCACCCTGCCTCTGTGGGAGACGGCCAGTGAAAATAATAACGCAAGTAGGTGACTACACGAGAGGTATGTGGGGTATCGTCAACAGAAAATCATCTCAGTAACAATGCTTGTTGACAGGGCCAGAGCCCATTTCTTCCTGTGTATGTGGCCATGAAGTCACTGTGAGGCAGTAGTCGCTTTAGAGGTAGCTAAAAAAGTCTTCCTCACTTTGTTCTTTCTGAGAATGGAACCCCAAAACAAGTTTGGGACATGTACTGGTACCTTCCCAAGAAAGGAAAAACTTTCAGGGAGAGGAAAGGGGGACAGAGAAGGTTGGGAATGGCAATTCAGTTGTTTCAATTAATACAAGCTAATCCAGGGATTAACTGGCCCTCTTTCTATCCCCAGCAACACTCCTAAAGCAATGTATAGTAGTAAAAAAATATTTACCTGTAATTCATATACTTTGCCTCTTGATATTCTCACCCTTCGAAGTCGGCAGCTGATTGTATGTTGTAATAGTCTTCGCGGTTCCTTACTGTTTCAATGACTACCTCCCGAGCACCCTCTTCATATTTGACATTCTCTTCTTCACATATGTAAGACAGTCGCTTCACCATTATATCATGTGCTGCAAAGAAAAGTATAAAAAAAATGCATTGGTGGATAAAATTTGGTAAAATATTAAGTTGCTAATAAATTCTGGTAAAAAATTTGGGAACCATAAATTTTCAACTGTTGCATACAGTGGAAATTTTATCTAAATATTAAGGCTTACAAAAGCACATTCTAGTTTCCTCATTTTTTTTTTTTAACACGCTGGCCATCTCCCACCAAGGTAGGGTGATCCCAAAATAAATGGAAAGAGCTTTCAAGGACACTCATTCAATCACTGTCTTGCCAGAAGTATGCTGACATCACAGTTTAGATAACCCTCCAAGCTGCAAAAACCACCTTCAGGACTTAAGTCCGGTACACTGATTTCCCTGAATCTCTTCATAAATGTTACCAGCACATCATAAAAACCGCTTGCCTCCACCCATTCTTATATAACAAGTCATGCAAGCCTGTTTGATGTCCAAGCACCTAGCATTCATACTGTATATGTATTTTTTTAGGCCTAAGTCTATTGCTCACCTAATACAGTGCCCTCTAATTTCGTGAGCTCTATTTTAGTGAATTTTTGATTATTCAGCCACTTTTTTCATCAATATAGCTTTTCCTTTTCCATGACCGCCCCTATGTTTCGGCAGCCGTTGGTATGTGACCGCAGTGGCCCAACACACACAAAGCCTCCTACAGACACATTCAAGAGTCATTCTGGCACCTGTTTTCTCGGCGAGTGAGCATCATTCCCTCGTATTCGTAGAAACATATCGTAATAATCCATTGCTTTTCGTGCTGCAACTGCTAAATAAGCCACCTTGAGTCAAAAGAAAGTTCTAGTGCCAGCCCTTTTGGTAAAGGTGAGAAACACGATAGAATTAAAGAAAGAGATGCAGTTGAAAAATATGAAAGTGCGTACGTGTGGCCGACCTCCCAGGCATTGTATGGGAAGCCCCCATACAACTATCAACTTCCATCGTGCGAAGAAAAAAGAAATCAAGGAAGCTGATGTTGCAAAAGGGGTAAATATGCTAACGAATGAGAGATCACAATTAATCGAAGATGTTTGATTGTTCTTGTTAGTGTTGGTCAACCAAGAGCAATTAGCAGGAGACATTGTTATGGCAGCCCATAATCTGTGAAAAGGGAAGCAGTTGCCAAATGCCGATCTCAAAGAAACTGCACTAGAACAATGTTCATGTTAGTGAATTTAAGATCAGCAAAGGCATGATTCGAGAAATTCAAGAAGCAAAGTGGCATACACAGTGTTGTAAGCATGGTGTGGCTGCAAGTTTCATGATAAATGTGTGCTGACAAATTTGTGAATGAATTCAAGGTGTACGTACAGGAAGAAGGATTCCTCCCCCAACAAGTGTTCAGTTGTGATGAAACAGGCCTCTTTTGAAGAAAATGCAAAAAGGACCTACATCACACAGGAGGAAAAGACACTGCCAGGACACAACCTATGAAAGCAGGCTAACTCTCCTTGTTCTGTGGAATGCTAGTGGGGATTCCAAAGTGTAGCTTTATGGTGCATCACGAAAATCCTAGTGTGTTCATGAAAACCATGATCATCCAAGAGTAAATTGTGTGTGATGTGGAAGGCTAATAACAATAAGGCATGTGTCCCACGAGGGAAATTTTTCTGATTTGTTCAATGAAGATTTCGGTCCTGAAGTGTGAAGAAATACCATCTGGAAAAAAAAATTGGGCACTCTCGAGTGCCTCCTGTAAATGGACAATGCTCCTACTTCCTCCTCCAACTTGGATGACCAATTATTGGAGAGTTTAGTTTCATCACAGTGAAGTTCTTGCCCCCTAATTACCACTCCTCTCGTCCAGCCCATGAACCAGCAGATCATTTCCCAAATTTCAAAAAAACTCTACACCCAAAGGCAATAGTTTCAAAGGTCTTTGATGTGACCTCAACACACAACAGACCTAAGAGAGATCTGCAGAGATCACTCAATATCCCAGTTGCATAACTCATAGATAAGGCTAGCAAGGAATGACTTCCAGGACTTTGAACTTAGCTTGAGAAAAACTGTGGTCAGAATGTGTCCAAGAGAAGGAAGGATTTTGAAGGGTTAGAGGCTGACCCTGTCGCATTGGGGAATTCCATGGGGTTGGATGTGAGTGGCGAGGGGGTTTGGATGTGAGTGCGAGGATGTGGAAGAGTTGGTGGAGGACCACAGTGAATAGCTAACCACTGAAGAGATGCAAGACCTTCACCATAATAGCAACAGACCACAGCTGGGAAATTGCTTCAGAGAAGAAGAGAGAGGGAAGGTGCCATCTCCTACGAACACCTGCTTAAGGACATCTGTGCAAAGTGGAGTGAGGTGGAAAACGTTTGTGAGGAACATTACACTAACAAAGCTGTTGCAAGCCATGTCGGCAACATTTACAAATGGACAATGCATGTCCCATTTTAGCAAGTCTTAGAGAAGACACCAGAAACAGCTCTCTGGACAGATATTTTTGTGCACAGTGGTCCAGTAGACTCAAGCGGAAGTAAACCCTGGATAAGGACTTGGTACCTAAAGTCTTTATGGAAGGGGAATTCCCTTAGAAACAAGAACATTCTCCTCTCACCCTCCTCCCATCTTCTATACACCTAACAAGAGTCTTCAATAAAGTTAAGTGTGATGTTATTATTTGCTTAACATGTACATATATAGTAGGAGTAGGGTTGGTCGACAGCAACCGCCAGGAGATTACTAACTCATCCTGCCAAGTGAGTGTAAAACTGGAACCTGTAATCTGTTTTTAACCGGATGTAGATTGCAGGTGTCTTTTTTCTGTCTCATAATCATGGCAAGATTTCAATATGTCTGCTACTTCTACTCATCACTTGATCACACGTACACATACATGAACAAGCCTGTATATACACACCCCTCTGGGTTTTCTTCTATTTTCTTTCTAGTTCTTGTTCTTGTTTATTTCCTCTTACCTCCATGGGGAAGTGGAACAGAATTCTTCCTCCGTAAGCCATGCGTGTTGTAAGAGGCAACTAAAATGCCGGGAGCAAGGGGCTAGTAACCCTTCTCTTTTATATTACTAAATGCAAAAGGAGGAAACTTTCATTTTTGCTTTTGGGGTCACCCTGCCTTGGTGGGATACGGCCGGTTTGTTGAAAAAAAAAAATGTACATATATTGTAGGTAGTAGGTTGGTAGACAGCAACTGCCCAGGGAGATACTACCATCCTGCCAAGTGAGTGTAAAACAGAAACCTGTAATTGTTTTACATGATAGTAGGATTGCTGGTGTATTGTTTTGTCTCATAAACATGCAAGATTTCAGGTATGTCTTGCTACTTCTACTACAATTAGATCACACTACACATACATGTACAAGCATGTATATACAACACCCCTCTGGTTTTCTTCTATTTTCTTTCTAGTCTTGTTCATGTTTATTTCCTCTTATCTCCAAGGGGAAGTGAACAGAATCTTCCTCCCGTAAGCCATGCGTGTTCTAAGAGCGACTAAAATGCCGAAGCAAGGCTATAACTTTCGGTTTTTCCTTTTGGGGCACTCTGCATGGGTGGGATCAGCCCGGTTTGTGAAGAAAAAAATACATATATTGATTTGTCATTCTTTTCCTGTATGTATAAATCTATACTTAAAATCCAGTAATGTATTCTTTTGTTAATACTTTTTGCGTGTCCTGGAATGGATTAATTGATTACATTTATTCTTATTTCGGAAAATGGTTTCGATTTTCCGTGAATTTTGACTTTCTTTTCGGCAGACTCCTCTGGAATGGATTAATCACGGAAATTTGAGGGTCCATTGTATATGATAGTGTTAAACCCCATTATCAGACTTTATATGCATTTGAAAGTGAAAAAAGGCTGTTTTATCCTTTAAAGGGATTTTCGCTTTCCAGCAATAGCCCGGAACCTAACCTGCTATAAAAGCATGCGCCTGTAAATGTGAAAGGGACAAGATTTTTCAACATCCTCCCTTCTTACATACAAGGGACTACCAAGAAACTCCTGTCTTCAAGGAAAAAACTGGACAAGTTTCTCAAGTCAATGTCTGATCAGCCTGGTTGATCAGGCCATCTGCCGGAAGGCCTAGTATGTGACCAGGCTACAAGGGCATTGACCCTTGGAACATTCTCCAGAAAGACTGTGAATACATCATATGTGTAATACTTACCTAAGGGTTTAAAGCGAAACTTGGAACATCTCGATGTGAGAGGCTCAATAATGCGAGAAACATAGTTGCAGATGAGGCAGAAACGGGTTGTCTTTGACTGTTTCTCCATGGTGCGCCTAAGGGCAGCTTGGGCTGCACTGGTCATCGAGTCAGCCTCATCCAAAATTATTATTTTGTATGGAAGACAAGGTTTACCACTGCAGAAAAAATTTGTGAAGGTTAAATCACATAGAAAATACTTGCAAGAGTATAATCTCTTAACAATTTTTAAGCAGTTGATTTTACCTTTAAAAGTACTGCCTGAAATACTGAGCATAATATGGACCTTGTAAAATACACTATGGCTGGGCTCAGGGAGTAGATAAACTCTTGGAACTTAAAAAAAAATAAAAAAAAATCATCTTATCTCTCAATACTAACCAATTCATCCAAAACAAATGTTAATAAGTTATGTTATGTGACCTCTAGACTTTTAACCTTTTAACTGTCGCAAGCCCATTTCTGAAACTGTCATTCTGTCGCAAAATTTTTGGGAAAAAAAAAAATCTTATGAAATTATAAGAGAATCTTTTCCCAGTGGTAATGACACCAAAACTACAAAATTTGATATAAAACTTATGGAATTATGCTCTTGCAAAGTAAGCGATCTCGGCGATTTCGCCGACTTTGAGCCCTATTTTCAGCCAATTCCTTACTTCCAGTCGACCAAACTCATAGCTATTTCTTTAGAACTCCATTTTTCTATGAATTTAGTACAAGAAACCATCCATTTACCAATTGCAACTACCCAATAGAGTGGTCAGAAGTTGGCAATTTGGCTAATTTCACACAAATTAAAAAAGATGCCAATTTCAAAATAGGGTCCAGAATAAACAATGCAGACATTCTTGGCATTAAAATAACATAACCTCTGTTCATTAGTCACATCTCCAGGCCCCTCTTATATTACTCTTGGTTTCTATTTTGATGTTGCAGCGAGGAGAAGGCTGGAGGCAGTGGAGATGTCATGTCTGAGGGCAATGTGTGGTGTGAATATAATGCAGAGAATTCGTAGTTTGGAAGTTAGGAGGAGGTGCGGGATTACCAAAACTGTTGTCCAGAGGGCTGAGGAAGGGTTGTTGAGGTGGTTCGAACATGTAGAGAGAATGGAGCGAAACAGAGTGACTTCAAGAGTGTATCAGTCTGTAGTGGAAGGAAGGCGGGGTAGGGGTCGGCCTAGGAAAGGTTGGAGGGAGGGGGTAAAGGAGGTTTTGTGTGCGAGGGGCTTGGACTTCCAGCAGGCATGCGTGAGCGTGTTTGATAGGAGTGAATGGAGACAAATTGTTTTTAATACTTGACGTGCTGTTGGAGTGTGAGCAAACTAACATTTATGAAGGGGTTCAGGGAAACCGGCAGGCCCGACTTGAGTCCTGGAGATGAGAAGTACAGTGCTTGCACTCTGAAGGAGGGGTGTTAATGTTGCAGTTTAAAAACTGTAGTGTAAAGCACCCTTCTGGCAAGACAGTGATGGAGTGAATGATGGTGAAAGTTTTTCTTTTTCGGGCCACCCTGCCTTCTTGGGAATCGGCCAGTGTGATTAAAATATATAATATATATATGGAGTGGAACCACAGTTGTTGGCCTCCACTCCAAACCAACAGATACAGATACTAATGCCGGAAAAAAAATCCCCCCCCCAGTACCAACAATACCACCAGTCCGATGACATTCTTCTTTGCAAATATACAGGGTCTAAAGCCAGCAACAAACAACAAAATACCTTTCATCCGGGGACTGCAGGCAGAGGGAAAGGCAATGTTTGCGGCTTTCACTGAGACCCACATAAAGGATCACTTAGACAACGAAATATGGATCCCAGGTTACAACCTATACAGATGTGACAGAGTGAACAGGCAAAAGGGGGGGGGGGGGTTTGGCCTGTACATTGCAGAGTCACTTGTTTGAACAGAACTGCTTAATGCCTCAAATGATGTAGTGGAAGTTTTAGCAGTAAAGGTCGAGAACCAAAACCTAGTCATTGTAGTAGTCTACAAGCCTCCAGATGCAACATCCCAGCAATTCCAGGAACAGCTGTCAAAAATTGACCACTGTCTGGAAAATCTTCCAGCTCCTGCACCCAACATCTTGCTCCTGGGGGATTTCAACTTAGGCACCTAAAATGGGGGAATATAGCAAATAATATTGTTGCAGTAATA